AGTACATAGTCAGTCTTAGAATACAGCCATTCTTAACATCTAGGTCTGATTTTCTGCAACAGAATTTAAAGTTAGCCGTCTGAGCCTTCCTTCTCACTGAACTCTGAGAGCCTGGAACCGGGTAAGGAGGAGAAAACTTTGAATAAAAAACTCTACAAAGTTGCTCTAAGACTTCATGCCTCAACTCCTTAGAAATTTTATAAAGATTAATCACCCTTTTAGATGTATGAAAAGGCTGGCTGGGAAACAATCTCCTTGGACAGCATTCAGCAAACGCTCTAATAAGTGTCCAAATAGCCCAGAAGTCAAGTGAAACTGCTTTTCCTGTCTGAAATGCCTTTTCCACTTTTATTCTGACTCTGTCCCATATTTTAAAATCTAAAGGTCTCATATCAGGAAACCATGAACCAAACTTTACAACCATCTAGAGACTGTTATCTGTCTGTACTCTAGAAACTTGCAACCTATAACTATAAAAAATATACTGAAGTAAAGAAGGGAAAAGAAAATACCTAACGAAATCATACTCACCTGTTCCTTTATACTTACTTGAGTCAGGGGTCTTTTGAGCCCCTCATGCCCCACGTTGGGCGCCATTTGTTGAATGCCCACCAAGCCCACCAGGCCTGGAGCTTCAACAAAAGAAGAGTCAAGACAAAGGTCTTGATTTTATTATAAAAAGTTTAATTCTTAACAGTCAGGTGAGCAATCACAGAATGGCTTTTTGTTGTGAGGAACACAGATCTTATATAGGAAATTGATCTGGAGTAACCAAGGAATCACCAAGGAATCACCAAGGATATTTTACTAACAGAAAGTAACTAAGGACGCAGCACGTTGCTGCATTACCTCACCAACTCCAGTGCCTGAAGACTGAACCGAAACTAACTTTCTAGAAGACCTGATCTATCATGGAGGCACAGCCTGTCAGCTCAAACCGCTGAAACAGAGAGCTCAGAAGTTCTTAAAGTGGCTCTCTTCTTTTTTCCTATGCTCATGTCAAGCATGGCTCCTGACAATCATGTGACAATGGCCTGTCCAGATGTCTGGGCATGAGATCTTCACCCCAGTCAGGGAGATCCAGTTGAAAATGTCATCATCCTCACAGCCTCAGCCTCAGTACTCATTGGGGATGCCATTTATCTTCAAAAACTGGGCCTTATTCAGGCCTGGCACACCTCCAAAGTAGCTAGCATAGGGCAGCTAAAAGCCAAACTTGTCCATAGCATCGAACTCCAGAACCTCATGCTTCTGCCTTTTCAGTGTATCCTACCAGTATGCACCACCACTACCAGCACACATAGGGTTCTTAATACAAACAATCAACTTCTGAGGTTATCATGAAAGAAATGTCCTGAATAAAATGCTATTTAAGTAGGTAATTGAATTTTATTTCTTTAAAAAATTATCTAATAAAATTAGGTAGTAAATTGAATTAAATTTCTTTTCTTAGTCATCAAATGAGCATTTATATATGGAAAAAATGGGAATGGAAAGATGATTTAGCGGTTAAGAGTACTTGGTGTTCTTGTAGAGAACCTAGGATCATTCTCCAGCATCTGCAACTGGATGGCTCATGACTGCTTGTAACTCTAGTTCCAGAGAATCTGTGGCCATCTTCTGGCCTCCTCAGGCACTGCATGGCACACATGTATACATACAAACAAGCAGGCACACACACTTACACAGAAATAAGCAAATAAATATTTTAATTAAATATATTTAAAATTTTCCAAAACAGAGAAAGATGAAGAAAGTTTATTCAAGACACAGATGACTTTTAGGGAAGTGAGCTACTATGCAGTATGCATTGGTCTACATTTGTCCAAACCCATAGAATCCACAGCACTAAGAGTCAGCCAAATGCGAACTATGGACAATGGGGATATGATGTATCTGTGCACTCCTCATTTGTGGTAATTCAGGTCGGGGATGGTATGGAGGCCATGGTATGTGGGGTCACAGGCCATATGGGAAAGCTCAGCACCTTCCATTCAATTATGCTGTGTGTCAAAAACTGTTTAAAATAGTCTCTATAAAAATGGTTACTTGATAGCATCTTGATATTTACATTTTATTGTCATTTTCATGAAAGAATTGATCTTGTATAGCATGAAACATGATTATTTATATAATTCTTGGGTACATGAAAAGCATGAACCCAGAGACAAATGCTTCTCCAAGCCAGTTTTGCTCCTTGGCACACAACCATTACTGCCTCCACATCACCCTCAGGTCTGCTTCCTACTCCTCCACCATCAGTCTTGAAGCTACTATCTAGTCTGACTTTGACCAGATCTACTTGAGCAGCTGCCATCTGCTTTGGATGTTTTCCTGAGCCTAGCAATCTGGTTTCTGCATGACTTTAGATAATGTGCTAGAATCCCCATCAGTTCAGGTGTGCTTCAAGCATTATGATAGATTATGATGGTTCCATATGTAGAGGGAGGAAATAAAAGCAATCATCCTACAGGTTGGTAATTGTAGTGATGAAATGATGTACCTATTGCAAAGGTGGCAGAAAGGGAAAGAAGCTTTTTACTTGTATCCTGGGTCTTGAAAAGGCTTCATCAAAGAGGAAACACCAGGATTGTGTTTTGAAAGACTAATTAAGATTTTCTATTTGTGTGTGTGTGTCTGTGTGTCATACACCTATGTCTATATATGTGTGTGTTCATGTGTACATGTGGGTGTGAGTATGTAGAGGCCTGAAGCTGATGTCTGACACTGGGAGTCCTTGATCACTCCTCAACTTACTCATTGAGGCAGGATCCCTCAGCTGAGCTTGGAGCTTGCCAATACAGCTGTGTTAGCTAGCCAGCTTGCTCTGACCAATCTGTCTCCACCATCCCAGCACTGGAGTTACAGAGGACCACCATGCCCACCTGGCGTTTATGGGTTGGGGCTCTGAATCCCAGTCATCATCACTTGGCCTGCTGAGTCATCTCCCCAGTCCCACAATTAGGATTTTCTTAATTTAAGAGAAAGTGCTTGGGGGCGGGGGGAGAGACTAGGAGTGGGTATTCCAGGTAGAAATAACAGATGAAGGCATCGGGAAATTGGAAATCTTGCCAAACTTTCTATACAACTAGATCTCTGTATTATATCCTCTTTCTGGATCCTAGTTCCTATAACTTGCCTAAGTCCTTTCCCCTCCTGAGTTCTGCCTTACTGTTGAGGTTCTGTTTACAGAAGTTCTGTCCTTGAGTATTAGTCCTTTTTCCAATAGTGGTCATTGGACTTCTCTGCTGCCTACCTGTCTACCCTAGTCCTGTTTCTCAGTGTTACCTGTAGCTCTTCCATTTCTGCATCTACATTCTTTGTTGGTTCTTGGTCCATTTTCTGTTGCTATAAATAAACACTTGAGGAAGAATAATTTATAAAGGATATATGATCTCTTTGCTTGTGGTTCTGGAGGCTGGGAAGTCCAACAGCATGGTGGTGCCATCTCCTTGGATTCTCCTGGGGCCTACTGGCTAGATTATGATATTGCAGAGATTATCACATGGAGATACACAATGCAAGCATAGAGAGCTCACATTTTAAAGACAGCCACTACTGCAATGACCCATTAAGACATGAGTGGATTAATCCACTCATGAGGGCCATGCTGTCATTAATCAATCACTTCCCTAAGCATCTACCTTTCAGTTCCATTGAACTGGGCTCCAAATTTCCAACTCATTGTCCTCTGGGAGCCATATTCAAGCCATGGCACTTGATGGCTGTTAGTCTAAAGTGAGAGTATGACTTTGGACACAGAGCTTTGCGATTTCTGTAGATCAAAACCTCTCTGAGGTACTAAAGCCTTAGTTAAGGATTCATGTGGAAGTGGCTTATAATGGAACAACTGATGAGAACAGAAGATAGATATTGGTTATGCATATAGGGTAAAACCACCCCAAAAGAAAAACAACCAGCATCTTTCTTGGATAAAAGTCAGAAACGTCCTTGGGTCTGTCAGCAGACTTGTTCTTTCCTGAGGCCGAGACACCGTAATTGTCTAAGCCAAAAATGTCCTTGTTTTTGCTAGAGGCTGGGGATCCCAAGAAGGGAGTCTAGCTTTTGCTTTATCTCTTTTCCTAAAGGAGTAACACATTTCTAGAAACCACACTGAGAACGTGACTGAAACCTAAAGGAACTTGGACACCTGGAAAGGGAACTGGATTGACCAGCTCATCTTCCCCTTCCCTTCCTCCACCAAAGCTTTATTAACTCCAGAGCACTGAGACTCAATGGTATCCCACTACTAGGGACCGCTCCTGCTTTACAGATGCTTGGCCTTCCTTCCTTCCCTCCCTCCCTCCCTCCCTCCCTCCCTCTCATTCTTCCTTTTTCCTTTTCTTTGTTCCTCTTAAGCTCCCTATAATAAAATATTTCTTTCTAAAACTCACTCTCTGTGGTCCATGAATTTGATTCTTTGAATTTGTGAGATAAGAAACTTAGAGCCTCTGGTTTAAGGTGGCCTCAATCTCACAGAGATCTGCCTGCTTCTGCCTCCCAGGTGCTGGGATCAAAGGTATGTGTCACCACATCCAGTTGTACAATAATTATTATTATTATTATTTTGGTATTTTTGAGACAGGGTCTCTCTTTGTAGCCCCAGCTGGCCTGGAACTCACTATGTAGACCAGGCTGGTCTTGAACTCACAGAAATCCACCTGCCTCTGCCTCCTGAGTGCTGGGACTAAAGACGTGTGCCACCACACCCAGCTCGATAATTCTTAACGGAACTATTTCAATGTCTTTTCTTCATTGTGCAGGGTACTGGCTGCATCTTTTGTTTCCATCCTATCATGTTTGTGGTGACGTCATCCTCTAATTTTAAAGATAATTTTGCTTATCACATCAGAATTGGTCAATGCTTGCAAAGGTTACATCTGCAAAGTAAACATGAACACTGCAGAGCCAAGCAGAGCCCACATGACCTGTTTACACTTCATATTGATTTTTTAAAACCTCATTTCCCTGTTTTGTTACTGATGACATTGGAGAAAACAATCAAGTCTCTGAATGAAAACACCCAGGCTACTACAAAAGTAAGTTCCCCACCTCCTTCTTCCTCAGGGAGATGCTTTGCTTTTTGTGCTTCTGGAGGTGACAGTGGTTGTTATTGATACCTTGGTGTGGGACATTTTTTTCAAACAAAATAGAGGCAGATGAAAGAGCATGCTTGTTGGAGTGACATTCATGTAGTCTCTAGCTGAGCACAGATTGCTTATTAGCCAAATTGCACTATGTCTGCCCATTGACAAGAATGGGCTATTTTCTTCCTTGTTCTGATTTTGATTAACTCCAGGGAAATGGCATGTAAAAATTGACATTTTTCTTTTGTACCCAAGAAACATTTGTGATACTTGGGTGAGAACAAGACTGCTTTTGAGTTAGTAGTCTGTTACTTTTGAATAATAATCAAGAGGAAAAATAAGCTGATTAATCACATGTCCTATTGCTTATCTTGGTAAGCTGCTCCTTTTACAACCTGAGTTTAGAGAATAGAATAGGCAAATTCCTAGGCTTTCAAGAAGTGTGTGTGAAGTTTTATTTGAGTTTATAAAGTTATACTTGACATAACCTGTAAATCAAAGAAGCAAACTTTTAACAGGCTTCTATCAAATATATCAAGATTTAAATTGAAACCCGGTCAGTGGTATAGTCCTGAAATTCCAGCTATTCTAGAGGCTGAGACTGGAAGATCACAAGTTCAAGCCCAGCTTGGACAACTTAGTGACTGTCTATCTCAATTTTTTTTTAAGTGAAAAGAAACTTGAGGATATACCTCAGTGGTAGAATGTTCCCTAACATGGGTAAAGCCTTAAGCCTTAGGTTCAATTGCTAGAAGCACGAGCACATGCGTGCGCACACAGACAGACAGACAGACACACATAGATTGAAACTGAATAGAATTTAAAACCATATCAGAGGTATGTCTCTATATTCTGAACATGAGACTAGAAATTGAATCATGATATAATTTTTTATTAAAGCAATATATTCTATCTAATCATACACATAACAGGTTCTACAGTGTGTTCATTGATAACTAGAGAGCAACTATCTTAATTCCTCTACCCAGTAATATGTTGACCTAAGCCTTTATGGACTGTTCTTCACTTTTCAATCTCATTTAGAAAAACTGATTTGCAAAGCTCCACTTGAAGTTATTGAGATGCAGCTTTCCCCAGAAGCAGTCATGGAAGGATTTTCCAAGGCTTCTCAACATTTCTGAAGAAGCAAGCATGCCAGAAAGTGGTTGATAACACAGGCTTTTAGATCCAAAACCAGCTCATTGGGAATTCCTATTGGTTAATTGCATATTCAAACCGCTCTATAGCTACATTCCTGTAATCTAAGAGCTTCCTGCCACTCATGTACCTGTCTCCCACCCACTCCGAGATTTGCTGCTGAGATGCTAAAATCTCTTATCTGGATTTCCTTCTTCTATGCTGGTTCTCTCTCGGTTTGTTCCCAGTACAGTGATAAGAGTAGTTTTTGAAAACAACTGGGGATTGCTGTCCTCATCTTGAACCCCAAGACGGCAGCCCTTATGGCTCTAAATGAAAGCTCAGATCATCAGGTCATCGCAGTTTTCACTGCTGGGCATAACTTGCTTCTCTTCTCTCCCTTTCACCTCTCTGACTTGTGATCCTGAGAACTCCCCCCACCGCCTCTCTACTCCCCCTTCAGCAGTGCCACTGCTCCCACTTTTCACTCCCCAGATCCATTTCCTCTGGAAGGTTCTTAACCTAGGTATCTCTATGGCCACTTTTGTTTCTCTGAAGTGCTCATTCAAACATTTCAAACGTTATTTTCTCCACGAGGCTGCCTGTCACCTCCCTGTCCCCTGGCTCTTCCTTTGAGCTGTGCTTCCTCCCCTTGGCACACTTACTAACTTTATAATTCTCCTTTCCTCCTGCACTAGCATATGAGATTCACAAAGCAAAGAGCAAAGGCTTTGTGGTGGTGTTGTTGCTGTTGTTTTGGTTTTGTTCAATGATATACCTTCAAGGTCTAGTGTAATTCAGATGCCCACTACATAGAGAAACTGCTTTGGGTCACTGTAGTATGATTACTACAGTCTGCTGAAATGCACTGCTGTCTTGGAGAGAACATTCATAAATTGCTGCTTCTTGCCTGATCTGGGGTTAAACCAAATGCTAGATAAACCTTACTTTCTATAGACAGAGGCGATGATATCATCTCTATACTGAAAGAACTAGTTCCAAGAAGAAGCGTTCTTCCTTCTGGGGACAAGTCAGTTACCTAATTCTGACCTCTAAATGGCATGCATGATATACTTTGGGTTGTGCCAGATCTCTCCAGACAGAGTAGCAGGAGGATAGGAGGATAAGAACAGAAAAATGCAGTGCTGTACATGAGCTTCTCCAGCAGGTGTGCTTCCATGGTAAGCTTTCCCTTTTGAAAGAAGGTTAAGTGGTAGGGCACCTGGGGTGGAGATGGAGGAATCTGTGATAGGGGCCTATGCTGTTGCTGTAATAAATCTCTTTTTCTTACAAGGCAAACAGGAATGGGAAAGAAGCATCATCTCCTAATGACATTTATAATTTCCTCTTTTGAAATGTCTTTCAGGGTGTTAAAAGCAATAAATATTATGCTTTTGAATTGTAATTTTTGCTGTCAGCAAACCTATAGATCTGAAAAGTTATTCTGCCTCTTATTTCATTTATTTGGGAGACTAAGCAATGAGGAACATAACTTCAAAAACTTCCTGGGCTACAAAGTGAATTCAAAGGCAGCCTAGCCAACTTCATGAAAACTTGCCTTAAAATAAAAAGTAAAAAGAGGGACTAGAGAGATGGCTCAGTGGTTAAAAACACTGACTGCTCTTGCCAAGGACCCAAGTTTGGGTCCCAGCACCCATATAGCAGCTAACAACCACCCACAATGCCAATTCCAAGAGATCCCACACCTTCCTCTGGTCTCTGTGGGCATTGCCTGACATAGGTTCATTTACATACATGCAAGTAACACACACACATAAAAATAAATAAATAAAAACATTTTTTAAAAGCAAAAAGCTAAAGTTAGGATATCACTCAATAGCAGAGTGCTTGCCTACCATGTACAAGGCACTGGGTCCTCAGTCCTTGAAAAAAAGTAATTAAAGAGCCAGGAATGAAAGAATTGCTCAGTATGGCAAACCAGAAACTAAAATTTACTGTCAGAGAAGAGTTAGAATGAGAAAGGAAACTAAAATTGACTGAGAAAAACCCAGAGCAGGTAGCTTGAGAAATCGGATCTCCTGCTGGTCTAAGAAAACAGCTTCCAGTTTGCCCAAGATAACCAGTCCTCCAGTCTGCTTAAGAAGACATGTCTATGTTGAATCTTTGCTTTTGCTTCTGTAAATATGCTTCCCTAGTTGGAATTCCAGATCATGACTCCCCTTTTTGACCCAGAGAGTAGAGACCCCGAGCATGGTTCACAGTCATATAGGTTGAAAGGTCTCATGGCTCCAATGTCCACCAATGCCAGAGTGGGTCTGGGATGACATTGAATTATCTATAAATATTGTAAAGGATCCACTACCTATACTCAGGCTTTGGACATTACTCCCCTGGGCCTGTTGCTGGCAGAATCAGGAATAAAAGATGACTTCTCACTTTGTCCCTAGTGTCTGATTTGGAAGCAGCAGTTCCCATACAGTTTTCCCATCATATTTGGTTCCCTGATTGGGACGACACCCCCACTCCTATGCCTGCTGAGCAAGTGTGTGTATGTCTGAATTCATCTGTGGACCATTCAAATGAGGCTGATACCTTGAAGCCACTGTTGGCTGCAAACTTGGCTGAAGCCAGGTGCAACTCAAGGTTGACTGACTGGAAGGCATCACCTGGCCAACTGACCACAACTGCGACTCCGCTGACTGTGACCCAAACCTTTAGACAATACTCTGCCCTACAGACCTGAAAGAGAACTGGGAGACTCACCCAGGCCTTCAGGAACTAGTAAGCTACTCTGGGGTACACTGGTAGATAGGCCCACCAGCTCCATGGAAGAGGAGGTTGATCAAATCCAGACAATTTTCATCATTGCCTCAGGTAGAAAAGAAAGAAGCCGGCTTTGTTCCAGAGATGCAGGGATGGTTCAATAAAGTCAATAAACCTCATAAATCATACAAACGGACTCAACGACAAGAACCACATGGTCATCTTAATAGATGCAGAGAAGGCCTTTGACAAAATTCAACATGTATTTATGTTCAAATTCCTAGAGCGATTGGACTGGAGGAAACGTACCTCAACATAATTAAACTGTATATAAAAAACACACAGCCAACATCATTCTAAATGGAGAAAACCTGGAAGCATTCTCATTGAAATCAGGGACAAGATTAGGCTGTCCACTATCTCCACTTCTCTTTAACATAATGTTTGAAACTCTTGAAAGAGCAATAAGACAAGAGCAGGAAATTAAAGGAGTAATAATTGGAAAAGAAGAGAAAGAGACACCAAAAATTCCACCAGAAAACTCCTAGAAAGGAATAACACTTTCAGTAAAATGGCAGCTAGTATAATTAATCTACAAAAGTCTATAGCCTTTCTATATGCCAATAACAAGCAATCAGAAAAAGAGTACATGGAAGCATTCCCCTTCACAATAGCTGCAAAAATAATATCTTGGAATAAAACTGACCAAAGACATTAAAGACCTCTATAATGAAAATTTTAAATCTTTAAAGAAAGAGATTGAGGAAGACATCAGAAGACGGAAGGACCTCCCCTGCTCATGGATTGGAAGAATTAATATTGTGAAAATGACCATCCTACCAAAAGTCATTTATAGATTCAATGCAATGCCAATCAAAATCCCCATGACATTCTTCACAGAGTTGGAAAAACCATCCTAAGATTCATATGGAAGCACAAAAGACCTCGGATAGCCAAAACAAGCACTAAGAGCAATGCTGGGGGGATTACTTTACCAGATATTAAACTGTATTACAAGCTATAGTCATAAAAACAACATGGCACTGGCACAAAAATAGGCCCATAGATCAATGGAACAAAATTGAAGACCC